ATCTCCAGAGATGCCTTCCTAACAAGACCTCCTGGAGATCCTGTGTGACGGCAGGAGGGAGGGAATATGGCTGCCTTCCTCTGGGGCCTTCGGCTACTCCCTGCTCTGAAACATCCCAAGTGTCTCAAACCTGAGACACTATGTGCCTCTCCCTCACCACGCCTGGGCTGCTTTCCTTCTCGTGCAATGTGAATGCCAGAGAGAGGATGTTTGGTGTGGTTTCTCCATCGCCTGTCAAATGCTGGAACCTGTATGTCCCAGGAGGCTTGCCTGGAAGAAATGTCTGAAAACCCAGAGCTGAGCTGGAGCTGGCACCACTGTACTGCACGGTGCCGTGCACTTCCAGCCAGCCCAGGAAATAACACAGCTGCAGCAACTCAGAGCTCCCTAACATGCTTTTGGAGATCTTCTCTGCTATCTCTTCAAGGAGTATTTCTGTCTGTGCATCCATGGTTTTACTGATGCAGAGCAGTGACTGAGCAGCCAGAGGAATGAGACAAGGGAGGAAAATGACTGCAGGCATGTATTAAAGTATTCAGCTTGTCCAGCTGAAAGAGATTTCTGCCAAACAATTTTATAAGGAATGAGGCATTTTACAGGAAAAGCTGGGCCTCTGCTCTCATTTCCTTTCCCCTCTTCTCTATGAACTTCAAAGAAAAGAGGGGTCAAAACAGAGGCCAGGCAACTGGAACCGAGTTCCTGAGCCCTAAAGCCTAATTAGTCCAAGATACATTTCATTGGATATCTCCCAGAGACAGGCCTAAATTACCAATCCTCCCCGCCGTGCCGCAGAGGGTCAGATAAAGCCAGACCATAGTCCGCAGTTTGCAGGGCCCCAGCAGCACCAGGGCTCTCGGGGGGGTCTCAGCACAGGCCCCGCCAGTGGCAGGGCTTTCCCAGCCCCCCAGGCTTTGTGTGGCCACAGCTAAAACCCCCTCCCCAGGACAGGGATTGTCCCCACATCCCTGGTGCCTTGTCCCAGGGCTGCTGGTAAAGGAGTTCCGTCAACGAAAACCCCACAGCACCTTGTGGCTGGGGCCCCTTGGTGCATCAGCTGAGGCTACCAAAGAGCCTTCAGCCATTTGCAATTGCCCTTCCAGCAGTTTTAGGCTGATGTTAAACCCCTCTCTCGCCTTCCCTCGGCCAGCTGAGCCAAGCCCAGCTCCTGCCACCTCTGCCTGCTGGCCACATACTGGTTCCCCTCCAGCTTCTCCAAATCCCTCCCCAACGGATGCCCAGCACAGGGGACAATAACGTCCCTCAACCTGCTTCCTTGCATGGCCTGGCGTGTGGTTTGCCTCACCAGCAATGAGAAACAAAGCTTGGTTTTGCACAGGTTTAAGGACTCTCTGCAACCACATGTTGATTTCAAGTCACACGCCTCTCCCTGCAAGATGCAGGTCTTGGGTTTTTTTTTGGGGGTGGAGGACCCATAAAAAGAATTCTCAAGAACAGAGACAGAAATGACACAGGCTGTTTCCCCTACACAGCCTCTCTCACGATGCTGGCCTCAGAGGGGTGCATCTTATTTTGAGACTATAGCAAATGCGCTTCAACGGAAGGACTCATTTCCGGCATTGTGGTCTGAAAGCTGAGAAAAGCAAAACTCTACTGCAGGTCACTAGACTCTAATTCAGAGAGCAGAGAAAGGACATCATTGTCACCATAAGCTCATGTGGCCTCCTGGTGCCATAGCACAGCTCTGGAGCATAGGAAACTTGAGTCTTGCAGCTTGCGAGGCAGCGGACGGTCACGCATGAGGCTGCCTAGCAGGCAAAGTGAGGTCCTCATGGGTGTATAGCTACCCTAAGCTGAAGGCTGTGATTCTGCACTCCAACCAGTGCTTGGATCCCTCTCCCCAGCTGCTGCAGGTAGGTGACCTGGTCAGCGTAAGGCACAGCTCACTCCTGGCTTCGTGCTCAAGCTGCTCTCCCAGGAAAGCAAGAGAGCAGGAGGGATGCAGAAGGGGAGTGCAGAAAACGGACAATTTTTGAATCAGGAGGGATCTGAAATGATTTTATTAAATTTTCTGCCAGGAAAAGAGGTAAAGTTCTTCTCTTAACAATTTTGATTCCAAGGCACTTGCTCAGCTGTCACTGAAAGAGCAGGTCTGGGACCGACGAGGGGTGGGTTCAACTCCCAGCTTTACTGCAGATCATCTGTGCTGCCTAACCGCAGCAAGATGTTTCTCTCTCTTTGCATCCATTTCCCAGTGAAGGCAAAATATAAAATGGAAACCTCTCCTTCCCTAATGTAATGCTGTGCCAGAGTTGGCATCCTGCGAGTGTTGGCTGGAAGGACCTCTGCAGGTCTCCAGGTGCAGGACTGCTGCCAGCACAAGATCAAGTTGGCCGTAGCTCTGTCTAGCCACAAAGCCAAAGTCTGCTTCTAGTGTGCTTGCGCAGCACTTGGTGCATCAGGACCCTTTTTTTCATGGTGAGCTCTGACTCACCGCACAGCAGGGTTTAGCTGGGGTGTCCACTTCCCTCTGCAGCTATCAGGGAAGGAAGGACAGGTGGGGTATGTAACACCAACATTTGTCCAGTCTGTTAGTGCATTCCTGAGCCAGTTTCACCTTTCAGAAAAATGCCATCCTGAGGACTGTGACGGTTCAGGACCAGGTAGCCTGCCCATTTGGCTCTCCCTGCTAGAGACCCACAACTCAGGAGGAAGGGCAGGCAGGAGAGCACCAGCTGAATTTACTGACGGATTGAGCCAGATTCCTCTGTGCTGCCAGCACAAAAATAGCTGCCATCTTTGGATTTTACGGCTTTGCTTTGTTACAGTCTGGATCAGACTTGTTTTCAAAACAACCTTCAACAGACATAAATACACCTGTCATTGAAAACAAATATGCCTGAAATGATTAACTGATACTTCCCGGCAGTAATCCCTGCACCTCTGTAACAGCAGTTAAAAACAATTAGCTGGGATCACAGAAAGGAAACAACAGCATGCAAAACATTAGCCGTGTGCCTCACTCACTATTTTTTCAACTTTACGCTATTGGATTACTTTCTTAAGCACTCTGGGGACAAAGACAGCAAAGAACAGCTTTTGTTGGCAAAGGCAGGCAGTTTCTCACACACGGCTCTATTTTCCATGGCTCATCCACCAAATTGTATGCTAAGCCTAAAAAAACAGCCAGGAACAAGTCCATCCAAGAGGGACTGAGCACAGTGGATTTCGCATCCCTGTGTGCTGGCAGTCTAGCACTGGTATTGGGCACATGCTGGTATCGCGTGGGAAGTGCCTCACGCCGGGGAGACAGGGGGAGCAAGATCCTTGATGCTGCCCAGGGAACGAGGAACTCCCTTCCCAGCAAGGCCACCTAAGCCTACGTGCAGCCAGGAGGCACAGTCGGCTTTACTCATCTTCTCGCATTAACCAGAGCTTCAAGACTTTTGGCTGCGGTTAGAGTCCAAGCAGCACAGATGGACTGCCACAGCCACCCTTTACTGTGTTTAAAGGACAGCTGTCTCTCATGTCCTCCCTCACCACTGGAGGGCTCTGCCTGATAAAGCAGCATTTTTCCAAGTCCTAGTCCATAATTAAAGCAGCCAAGATAGTTCTCTACCAATGAAATGTTACTTTATGCAGTGTCATTCTTTCACACATGACCACACTCCTAAAATGCAGAGCTCACACTGACTTAAGCCTTGTAAACAGCAGGAAAGATCCCTGGTTTGCATCTGCAAACCTGTACGTGCAAAGAAGCAGGTGGCCAGGGAGCTGTTCTGCATCATGCCCTGCCCAACCTGCAGTTGGACATGTCAGTGTCACTGCAGGGAACCTCCTGAAATACTGACGACTGAAGGACAGTAGGTGGGCTGCAGTTCTGTGGGAAACCCACTGGAAAACATAGAGTTTTGTATTGAAACTGTAAAACACTCAAATATGGCTTATGCTGAACGCGCACACCATATTTCTAAGACAGCAGCGAACAGCAAACTTGCAGAGTACCTATGCAGGCTCAGTTACATTAGCGCTCTTGCCTTGATGTTACACTTGCTGTGTCACTCACGTGGCTGTTCTGTTTCAAGTGCTGATATTTTGAGGGATAGGGGAAAAAAAACCAAAAACAATCCCTTTCAGTTCCCAGAACCGACAGCCACTCCTGGGAGAACACTGGTCCCAACCTTTTATGATGCTTTTTTCCTCACGCTGTCTCTCAGCCTTCCTGGCCGTGTCACCACTGTGCTCGGCCCACCAGTAGTTCTGCATCCACTAAGCCTGCGTTTGGCTTCTGCTACGTCACAGGCCTTAAGCCCAATATTCATTCCACCTGACCTACTTGAGGAGTAACAACGAGGACAGGGAG